TCAAGCAGAGCAATTACAGCTCAAACAGAACTAGTTAGAACTTGTTTTTTCTTTTTGGTGATATAAAGTGCCTTGATAAAAAAAATTTAGGAAATCAGACAAGCTGAGATCAGTCTTACAGAGTTACAAAATCACCACCTACGCTCTATAGAGTACACACTCGCAAAACCACAGTCTTACCTGTGTCCCTGGGGGATTCCGCATGTCAGAGCCTCCCTATCACATCCATAACTGCCAGTGTTGACAAAGTAACTGTGGCCTTCTAAATAAGACCAGAACCAATTAAGAAAATTGTTCCAAAAAGGTCTAGGCCATTGTAGAAATGGCATACTTTCATTATTTGACTGATTTTTGTTGATATGTTTGATTTTTTTCACTAAAAGAGTGAGCAAATTCATTACAAGTCTCTGTGGAAAGAAGTTCTGGGGGATTGTAAGGTTGTTAGCCTTGACAAATAGAGTGAAGGTGGTGAAGAAGTGAAACTGTCTAGCGCTACATAACTCAGTTAAAACTACAGACTTTGTTAATAGAGGTCATAGTGAATTTCAAGTTTAGTTTATTTTCACTTACGTTCAGCTTTCCTGAATTCTCTCGCAACAACATCTATGACATTAGAAACTTAAAATTATCTAGCAGTACATCAACTGACTCTGCACTCATGGTTGGTGACATAGCTATGAACTGTACAAACTGAACACTCATGTTCTCATTTATATACCTTTCCTTAACAGGAACGGAGCTTATTTGAAAGTCCAGATCAGTGAGTGAGACACAGAAATGATCAGAAAGGACCAGGTTTTGACCATAACAGATTAAATGTCAAGGCTTGTAGAAATAATCAGATCCACAAAGTGGCCTCAAGTGTCTGCAGGCTCTTTCACATGCTGCGAGAAACCAAAAGCATCATGTACAAAACATTAGGTAGCACTTTAAAGAACGTAATAAGCAGGTAATTATATGTTAATATAACTAGTAACTCATTATCTATTAACATTTAGAAAATTAGCATGTTATTTTTTTAGGTTAGAATAACTTATTACCATAACTTTACCATGTTATTAACAGCTTGTTAGCGCTTCAATTATAAACATAATATATCATTATTCATTAACAACTTATATTAACAACTTAACCATGTAATTTTTAGGTTATTATAGCTTGTTGCCTTTATTTTACCATTTTAGTACCAACTTGTTACTCCTATATTTACCAACCTATTATTTAGTAACAACTAAAAAAAATAGCATGTAATTTTTGGGCTAGTACAGCTATTGTTTCATATTACCTTATTATTACCCACGTATTGCTGACCTGTAAAGTGCTACCAAAAGTTATTTGACATTATTGTCCATTTTATTATCTATGATATGATTTATTATCTATGTTATGATAAAGTTGTACTCAATGGAGATAACTGACACTAGTTCAGCAAACACATCAATAAAATTTAAATGATTAAAATGAGATTTTGGGAAGGAAAATATGAAAAGCAATTAAAAAGAGATCAAGTTACCAAGTCTTTGATCAAGTCTTTGCACTGGAATGTATCTTTAAATAAAGCAGCTACTCCTCCTCCTTTCTTATCAGGTCAGCACATATTCATAAAACTGAACACAATCAAGTTCTATTATGATTTAAAGTATCATTTCAAAGGTAGATGAGTAATGAGTAATAAAGAGCAAAGTGAAGGTTGTCCTTTAATGCGGTCACTCCAGTTCTGCTTAGCTGGACACCGTCCAGCCTAAAAATTCTCTGCACCCTCAGAATAGAATGAAATGATCAATATAATTAAGTCCTTAATTCAGGTTCTCCTCAGCCACATATTGAGGAGCCTTTGAGCTTTTAACTTCTCAGGTATATTAAACAGGTCAGTGAACTCACTTTTTTAGGATTTTTGCCTACATGCTAAATAATTGATTGCCCAGTGCAGGGAGAGCATGTTGGGAAGTTCCTCATTTAATTCCAAGACAGCATGTTAGCACTGATTTGGTGCTGATGTTCCTGATAGTGTCATCACCCATGATCAGAGTGCTCAGTGCGGTGCTGTCAGCCTAGAGCTGCTGCTTGTTAGGCCTTGTGTCTTTGCTTGTCCGCTTTGAGTCCCTGTTCACAGTCAACTTCACTGATTTTGTTCCATTCCATCTGGGAATACCCTCCCCCGATTCCTTAGCATTTGCAGCTGCATTATTGCTCCTTTTCCACGGGATACAGCAGCGCTAGCTAAGGTAGCTTTTTCAGCAACAGCAATACCATTCACTTTTCAAGCCAATGTGTGGAAGACATTAACACTCGCCTTTTGAGTGCAAGTGGGATGATGCTGAATCCATTTCTCTGGTCCTTTATGTTTGTTACGTCTGTAGCAGTTGGAGCTGCATGAGGAACCTGCCATCATAAGCCCTAGAAACCTTAGTCCGTTGTTTGTCCACTGGTTGATAGTCCTGAAGTTCTGATGGATGGTAGACAAGTGTCCAGGAACTAAGGAAATGATGAAATATTTAAGGAAAAGAGTACGAAAACTAAAAGGTAGCAGAGAGCAGGAAGAAAGTGTGAAGCCAGGGATAAAGCAGCAAGAAGGAAGAAACCACCTAGACACACTAGATGCTACTGGAACTTAGAATGGAACTGGGTTCTAGGTCAGAAGATAAAAAATAAAGTTTATTATAAACACCTAAGGTGGGACTGGTGTATATAAAGATGGATATATGCAAAAAGAACTTTATCTCCACTGTTAAATATGGTGGAGAATCTGATGTTTTGAATCTGATGTTTTTCCTCCAACTGTAAAATACTCCAGTAACGCCAAGCTGGTACAGACCATTAAGTAGCTTTGTTCATGGAATCTTTTATCTCAATTGTTTATTTTTATTTAACATTGTGTTTTATTATATTGTATGTCATTAAACTTTATATTATTTGGTGGCAATTTATAAAAGCAGTATACCACTGCAGGCTGTGTGCTACAGTGATTTCACCACAGGTAGGGGATTTAATTCTATGTTGCATCATCTGTAGCTTCACCCATTGACTAAGGTAAAATCATCAGAGTTCATTTGAAATGTTCACATATGCTCAGAAAAAAGTGACTCAGCGATCAGAGACCACTTCAAACGCTGAAATGGTCCAAATGTGTGAACATCCTTGTACTAAGTTGGACACAAATGCTTTTCTCAGGGAATCTTTATCAAAATGAATATTAAAATCTACAATAAATGCTTTATCAGTAGACTGTGCTGTTCCTGTTAATGCTATGAGTGATTTATGGACAAAAGCGTACGGTGAAGTGTAAACAGTAAAATGCTTATGATATCCTAACATGGTAGAATATATAGATAAATGAAAGTACAGATAGTCTTTATTGTGGTAATGGTGAACACTTGTGCACTGATTAGATATGTGGCTGTTTTCAGTAATTTGATAAAGCACAATATTAAATGCACACGGCAACATGATGATGGATAATTTGAAACACTGACTGTAATTTAGTCAAACAGGCTGCAGTTTAACCTGAGGTTCCTTAGACACACAGAGCAGCTCTGCTCTCCCAAACTCCCACTGCGCTCCCACTCTCTGATCATGAGATACAGTCCCACCTCTGAGCAGAGCTTTTAAATTCCCTCAAACAGATGAAAACTCACATCTCACCAACACTGAATACAAATAATGCTGAGTTTACTGGTTTCAAATGTGTAGCAACTCAGTTCTTGCCAAAAAAAGAGTAAACTGAAAGAAAAATGTGTTAACCTGACATACTTTATTCATGGGGAACTGACGCACAAATCAAAAATATATCCAGTGTTCTGTAAAGGTCTCAGTGTTCTGTACATAATTGTCAACTCCGGTCCTGATTGCTAACAGCCCTGTATGATACACATCAGCACATAAATACCCATTACATACTGGTTACTTACTGTAAAATAAAGTACTAATAAAGTAATAGTACATTACTGTAAAATAATAAACAGTCTCACATCCTGTTTTCAGCATGGAGAGAGAAAAGCTTCATGCCATCAAAGGGTCTGTCCTACACACTGATGTGGATATACTGATCTGCTCCATCTGCCAAAGCAGGAACTGTTTAAAGCTTAAAGCTATTGCTAATGTTAGCTATATTCCTGAACCTTGCAGCTGTATTTTACTGTTGCTATCTGCTGGCTAATATAAGTTCTCTGTGCTGCTAAAAATTTAGTTTTGGTTACTAACTGTTAACAGTGTCACACTGGTAGGTAGCTAGCCTAGCATTACAGTTTCCAGTTAAAACAAATGTAAAAAGTACATTTTGGTTGTTTACATTGGTGACAGACACAATATCAGTTTTCATGTTTGAACATTCCATATTGGTGCATCGCTATTTAACTGTATTTTATACTGTTGTGTTATTTTATTTTATTTTTCTCTTCAAAGAATAAGTGAAGACCAACTTCAGTCTAATAATGTTCTCACTGACTCTGAACACATTTAGTTCAGCAAAGCATTCAGTTCTTTAACTTCTGGTGGGAATCACTGACTCACTATTACTGCTTATTACTGACTCCCTATTACTGCTAATTACTGACTTACTAATACTGCTTATTACTGACTCACTATTACTGCTTATTACTGACTCACTATTACTGCTTATTACTGACTCACTATTACTGCTTATTACTGATTCACTATTACTGCTTATTACTGACTCACCATTACTGCTTATTACTGACTCACTATTACTGCTTATTACTGACTCACTATTACTGCTTATTACTGACTCACCATTACTGCTTATTACTGACTTACTACTACTGTTTATTGCTGACTCACTATTACTGCTTATTACTGACTCACTACTACTGGTTATTACTAACTTACTACTATTGCTTATTACTGACTCACTATTGCTGCTTATTACTGACTTACTTCTACTGCTGTTTATTACTGACTCAATATTACTGCTTATTACTGACTCACTATTACTGCTTATTACTGACTCACTATTACTGCTTATTACTGACTTTGTTTTTCAGGGTGGATCATGGAGGGGAGAACAGGATCAAACCAGGACTGAAGAAATGTAAGATACACACACACACACACACACACACACACACACACACACACACACACACACACACACACACACAGTTACACACACACACACACACAGTACCACACACACACACACACGGTTACATTCTCACACAAACACACACAGTTACATTCACACAAACACATTTACACACATTCACACACACACAGATACACACACAGATACGCATACACAGTTACACAGACACACACACACACACACACACAAAGACACACACAGACACACACAGACGCACACACACATACACACACATTCTGCTTGTGTATCTTCCAATCTGTGTGTGTGTCTGTGTGTGTGTGTGTGTGCGTGTGTGTGTCTGTGTGTGTCTTTGTGTGTGTGTGTGTGTGTGTGTCTGTGTAACTGTGTATGCGTATCTGTGTGTGTATCTGTGTGTGTGTGTGTGTGTATCTGTGTGCTTGTGTGTGTGTGTGTATCTGTGTGTGTGTGTGTGTAACTGTGTGTGTGTGTGTGTCTGTGTGTGTGTGTGTAACTGTGTATGCGTATCTGTGTGTGTATGTGTGTATCTGTGTGTGTCTGTGTGTGTGTGTGTATCTGTGTGTGTGTGTGTGTGTGTGTGTGTGTGTCTGTGTGTGTGTGTAACTGTGTGTGTTTGTGTGTCTGTGTGTGTGTGTGTGTGTGTGTGTGTCTGTGTGTGTGTGTGTAACTGTGTGTGTGTTTGTGTGTCTGTGTGTGTGTGTGTGTGTGTGTGTCTGTGTGTATCTGTGTGTCTGTGTGTGTGTGTGTGTGTGTATGTGTGTGTGTGTGTGTGTGTGTGTGTGTGTGTCTGTGTGTGTGTGTGTGTGTGTGTGTGTGTGTGTGTGTGTACAGATGCTGTTCGTCTCACTCTGGATCCAAACACAGTGAACAGACTCCTCTCTCTGTCTGAGGGGAACAGAAAGGTGAAGAATGAGGGAGAAGATCAGTCGTATCCAGATCATCCAGACAGATTTGAGGACTGTCTGCAGGCTCTGAGTGCGGAGAGTCTGACTGGACGCTGTTACTGGGAGGCTGAGTGGGGCCGGAGGTGGGGGGGTATTGTAGCTGTGTCCTACAGAGGAATCAGGAGGAAAGGAGGCAGTAATGACTGTCAGTTTGGAAGTAGTAATCAGTCCTGGGCTTTCATCCACTCTAATAACCGTTACACTCTCAGGCACAATAATCAGTTAACTGCCATACCTTACCCCCCAAACCCTTCTACCAGAGTAGGAGTGTATCTGGACTGGGAGTCCGGCACTCTGTCCTTCTACAGCGTCTGCCCTGACACACACACACTGACCCACCTACACACACTCACCACCACATTCACTGAGCCGCTCTACACTGGGCTTAGAGTTTATAATTATGACTCAGTGAGACTGTGTGAGATAGACTAACCTCCTGAATTCTGGAGTAGAACTAAACCTCCAGAAACACACACTACTGTACTACATGGTAGATTTTCTGTAAATAAATTATATAATTAGATTTAGGTTCACTTTATAACATTAGTAATATACATCACAGGTATACTTGGACTCTTATAATCCTTATCTCATCCTCCATCCCTAAAATCTGGGGGTAATTTTTGACCAAGTGATAAAATTCAAAAAATAAATTAATATAGGCAGTTGGATACATGTTTCTAAACACTGAAACATCAAAAGTCATCCATCCTCTGTCCTCCTCACACTGCAGATATGCTTTGTATATACACTTCATCTAAACCCTTAAAGTCTTCCTCCCACTGCTGACTGTTCTTCAGTCCAGCTAAAGCTGAAGGATGATCATGGTTTAGTGGTTGCTGGTCAGAGACTCTTACCCAAGATTAGGTCTGACCGGTTTACTGAAAAAGAGGAAAATTGATGGTGAAAATCACACAGACGTGTTAATTATTACAGGTCCTGCTCCTGGATTGTACGCCCACAACACCAACATCATGCAGTCATGGATTTATGTTCCCTGGGTTTTAGTGTCTGTGCATGTGTTTTAAATACTGATAATGAATAATAAAACATACTCTGTGGAAACATCACATAATTTTTTCTCTTTGTGCCATTTAGAAATCGATAATCTAAATAAAATTTTATTATATATTTTTTTCCCAATTTTCTCCCAAATTTAGCTAGGTCTCCCCCAATCTTGTGATACGACCAGTACTAGGATGTGAATATATAAAGTGTATAAAAATCAATATTTTAACATATTTTTTCACTTTATATTTACTTTATTTTTACTCTTTTATCTACATAATCTGTATTTTAGTATACTTTGAAAAAATATTCGGCTTTGCTAATTTGGTTCTGGTGATATACTTCATAAAAATATATACTTAGCAAATGTGTTTTTTATGATTAAAAAGCAATAAAACTACTCTAAGTATGCTTGCAAAACATGCTGAAACATTGCTTTTATAAACTATTACAAACTGTACTTCTAATGAACTGTGCTAATTTTGTGCTAAATGTCACACATCCACTGAGTCCCAGACTCCTCTGGGAGATCACATGACTTTCGACTTTCCTTCACAATCAGACACTCACACGGACTCCATCTCCCAGAATCCTCCGGGAGATCACCTGACTAATGACATGACCATGCACTCCAATCAGCACTCTAGATCTCCAGAGTACTAATGTTTGTCACCAGTGTTGTTGGTCACATGACCTATTTAGTTTAGTGTATAAGCCCAGGCTTTAGCCTTAGGTAGTTGTAAGGTATTGTATCCATTTGTGACCTACTGAGCGTTCTATGTATTGTTTGCATTCTGTGTATGACCCCTGCCTTTTGTCCTCTCGACTCTGCCTTTTGCTTTGCCCCTTGGATTGTTTGCACTACTACACCTTTTTACCTCTCCCTTTTGGACTGTTCGCCTTGTGATATCTTCATCTGTTTGTACTTGCTTTGCCTATTGGATTTGATCCCTGTCTGTTTTGTGACCACGACTCTGGATTCTCAATCTCACAGTAAAGCATCAAAGCATTTATAAGGATTGTTTATTTCTGTGTTTTGCGGTGCTTTAATGAAGTATAATTGAAAACTTTATATGAATTTGTGATGAGCTTCAAGTAATGCTTACAATATACTGTGCTATGAAAAATTATGTATTAGGAAGATGTATTTTTATATTTTTTGTTAAAACTATATTGTAAAATAACATCTTTGAAAAGTTTATATTAATTTCATGTCAGAAAAATGCTTAACAGCGTATGCTTACAATGAAATATGACTTCTGTACACACTTCATAAAGGTATGTGACTTCAACTCGCTCAACTTGAAGGAATAAGTAAATTGTAAAACAATGTATGGTGAAAAATTATACTTCTGAAACAAAATTCCCTTAATCCCATAGGATTTCAGGCTATATATAATAATCCAGTAGATACATGAAAGTATTAGTGTGAACTCATATTTCATACAGGACATAGTGTTTAATCAAATACAACCCCGTTTCCAAAAAAGTTGGGATGCTGTGCAAAATGTGAATAAAAACAAAATGGAATGATGTGCAAATCATTTAAACCCTATATTTACTAATATATCTATTATTGAATCTGAGACATTTTATTTTATTTATTTATTTATTTATTTTTTACATGTGTTTAAAGTTTAAAGTCAGTAACATGATTGGGTATAAAGAGCATCTCAGAGAGGCTGAGTGTTTCAGAAGTGAAGGTGAGGAGGGGTTCACCACTCTGTGAAAGACTGCACGAGTAAATAGTGCAACAATTCAAGAATAACATTCTCAACATAAACTAGCAAAGAACTTCTGCTTTTCATCATCTATGGTACAAAATATCATCAAAAGATTCAGATAATCTGCTCATTATTGACTTACTACCACTGCTTATTATAGACTTATTACTGACAAATTACTACTGTTTATTATTGACTTATTATTATTGCATATTACTGACTTATGACTACTGCTTATTACTGATTTACTACTACTGCTCATTATTGACTTACTAATACTGCTTATTAATGACTTATTACTGCTGCTTGTGAATGACTACTTTTTTATTGACTTACTACGACTGTTGATTACTGGCTTATTACTACTGCATATTACTGACTTATTAATACTTCTTATTATTCATTTAGTACCACTGCTTATTACTGACTTACTACTACTGCTTATTAATGTCTTGCTACTTTTTATTAACGACTTACAACTATTTTAACTGTTTATTACTGGCTTATTACTACTGCATATTACTGACTTATTACTCCTGCTTATTACTGCTTTACTACTACTGCTTCTTACTGACTACTGCTTATTACTGACATACTTATTACTGACTAACTGCTACTGCTGTTTACTAAATGCTACTGCTTATTATTGATTTACTACTGCTGTTTATTACTGACTCACTACTACTTTTTATTACTAGTGCGAGATGACCACCCCCCACTTAACATCAACAGGAGCACATTCCTCGGTGTCCACATCACAGAGAACCTCACCTGGTCCCTCAACACCAACTCCATAACCAAGAGAGCCCAGCAGCGCCTCTACTTCATACGGAGACTGAAGAAGACTCATCTCCCCCCTCCCATCCTCACCATGTTCTACAGGGGGACTGTGGAGAGCATCCTGAGCAGCTGCATCATCACCTGGTTTGGGAACTGCACTGCCTCTGACCACAAGACCCTACAGCGCATAGTGAGGACAGCTGAGAAGATCATCAGGGTCTCTCTCCCCTCCATCATGGACATCTACACCACATGCTGCATCCGCAAAGCCACCAGCATCGTGAACGACCCCATCCATCCCTCACACTGACTTTTCTCACTGCTGCCGTCTGGCAGAAGCTACCGGAGCATTCGTGCCATCACTGCCAGACTCTGCAACAGCTTTGTTCCTCAAACGATCAGGTTTTTAAACTCACAAGGACTGAACTGAAAACCTCCTCACACACACATACTCTACACACACACTCACTCACACACACACACACATACTCTACACACACACTCACTCACACACACACACACTCTACACACGCACACACACACCCTCTCTCTCGCACACGCACACACTCTCACGCACACACTCACACACACACACACATACTCTACACACACACACTCACTCACACACACACACACTCTACACACACACACACACGCACATACACACTCTACACATGCACACACACACCCTCTCTCTCGCACACGCACACACTCTCACGCACACACTCACACACACACACACAGTCACACAACGAGCATCAGTGATGATTAAAGCTTTATATTCTACTGAGAGCTGGTTGTCAGAGCTTAAAGAGGATTAAAGTACTCAGAGTGCTGTGGATGTAAAAAAAACTAAATGACAAGTCATTTTACTCAACTACAGCGAAACTCATTCTGTTCAGTCATTCTAAATCTACTCAAACATTTCTAAGAGTTCTAGGAGGGCTTTTTTACTCCTTCTGTCATGATTCTTCCCTAAAATCTCAGGATCTCATTTTTGACCCACAGATACAATTTTAAAACAATGTAAAGCAGTTAAATAGATCAACTTTTTCAGCTCTGTGTAACATGCAACCAGTATGTAAGTCCAAAACACAGGCAAAAGTCAAAAACCGAATATCCAACAAACCAGGCAACAGTAAATCCGAAAATCAGTGAACACGAGAAACAAAGTCAAAACACAAGGTCAAAACACGGGAGATCCAAACCAGAAGGAACGCTCAGTAGTTTCACTAGGAAAGCAATACCTCGCACTGAACCTGACTATAGCCCGGGCTAATATACTAACTAAAACAGGTCATGTGAGAAAACATACAGGTGAAACTGATCAATATTCAGGAGAACTAGAGCGGTGATAGGCTGCGGATGATCTTCCTGGAGTCAGGTGATGAGGTGGAGGATTCTGGGAATCGTAGTTCTGAGTCTGGCTGGCTGAATACATGACACTCTGAAGCAACATTGAATTTCTTTTTCCTTATTTATATTAAAACAAAACATTGTATTTCTGTAAGTGTACGTTTCTATATATTAGATCAATGGGTGGAATTAATTAATGAGTGGAAATGTACAGTACTTTGATCATTACCTGGTCTAAATATACAATATAGATACATTTTACGTACTTCTTGATTTATTCATGTCTACTCAGGTGTAATCAGAGCACAGTTTCTCATTTTCAAGGTGACCTTAGACTAGACTAGTGATGATGTACATTTACTGTCTGACAGTTTCATTCAGTGTTGCTCAATCTGTAAGGATGGGACTGTTACAGTGGGAACACACAGTTTCAGTTAAAGCCATATCAGTGTTGTGATTGGTGAGAGTAAAGCTAACACAAGCTGTACCCAAGATTAGGACTGACCAGTCTACTGAAAAAGAGTGACAGTCTACTGATATGATGGTGAAAAACACAAAGACATTCATTAATGATTTACAGGGTCTGATTTTGATTGTGTCCACAACACCAGCGTTATAGAGTTTCAGCCCAGCAGTGAGGAGCTGAACTTTACCCTCCTCTGCTGTCACTGCAGACTGGCAGGGTCGCCTACAGAGCAGCGCTGGTAGCTTTTAATGAAGTGATGCTCTTTTTATTTGAGGGTCCCATTTCAGAGGGAAGATTTCAACCACTACCCTGTAACTCAGTTGCAAGGGGCAACACTCGAAAACAAAGTCAGATCATCTTCACTTAAATCACCATTCATGTTCAGTCTTTGGTTTGGTGCTCCTTTCTGAATGTCATTAGTTATATTACCTGCTCTAAACTTAATAAGCAAAGTTACTGATTGGTCCAAGTCAGCATCAAAAGATATATGTCAAATGTCACACTGTGAAGGGCAACTCTGTAAAGGTCCCAAGAAGTTCAAACATGATGAGCAGTTAATATGTGGCTCATATTGTCTTTATTCACCATAAGCTTTGTGAAAGAGATGCTCTGTTTCAGGCACAGTAGCTGGAAAATACACAGTAAACACTGTAAAGACATGTTCCAGATCTTGTTCAGCACAGCTGTGTTTTAGGACGTATACCATCAACCACACTAAGCTCTGTGTCTTTGTAATTGGACCCCCAGGATTGACAGGTTCATCACCACTGTTCAGCTCCATATAAAAAACAGAAACAAAAATAAAGGGTGATCTCCCCTCTAATGAATCTGTTAAATAACAAGCTAATGTAGCATGTATAGTGAAAGTATCAGTTTCTCATAGATGTGAAATAAAATGACTCATAATGATATATTGTGTATATCCTAGATTTAAACACAAATATAAGAGAGTGTACAAAACCATAGAAACACAACATGAAACATTCATACTAGTCAGAAACACCTATATAATGTGGCCAAAAGTATGTGGACACCTGACCAACATACCTGTCTAAGCTTGTTGGACGTCCCATTCCAAAATCATGCTCATTAATATGGAGTTAGCCCCCTGTTTGTGGTTATAGTAGCTTCTACTCTTCTGGGGAGCTTTCCACAAGATTTCAGTGTCTTTGATCAAAAGAGCTTTTATAAGGTGAGGCAATAATGTTGGATGAGAGGGCCTGGCTCACAGTTGACGTTCTAGTTCATCCCAAAGGTGTTCAGTGGGGTTGAGGTCAGGGCTCTGTGAGGGCCACTGAAGTTCCTCCACACCAAACTGGTCACTCCATGTCTTTATGGAGCTGCTTTGTGCTCCAGGGCTCAGTCATGCTGGAACAGGAAAGGCTCTTCCCCAAACTTTACACCACTCCAGCCGACGCTTGGCATTGCGCATAGTGATCTTAGGCTTGTGTGCAGCTACTCAGCCATGGAAACCCATTTCATGAAGCTCCTGGTGCTCAGTTCTTGTGCTGATGTTGCTTCCAGAGACAGCAGCCCCACATAGTTTGTTTAGTCTACTGCTTTGTGGCTGAGGTGTTGTTGCTCCTAGACATGTCTATTTAACCGTAATAGTACTTTAAGTTGGTCAGGGCAGATCTACCAAGGCAGAAATTTCACAAACCGACTTGCAGAGGTAGCATGTTATGTTGTG